TAATAAGTCCTATGTTTTCCATAATGATACTACAAGCATTACATTGATTTTGACACTGTGCTCCAAAAAAAAGGGATGACTGACACTGACACATGAATGTAAATCACGTCAGTTTTAGTTGTTTTTCTTAGCCAAGTAACTTCAAGATGGAACAGTTGAAAACTATGAAATGTGGAATATTTTGTACATTTCTGTGGGCATCTTTGACACAGTACATTCACTGAAGCAATAATATTTATGTCAATATTTTCTAACCGAACACAGATTAGGTTGTGACCTATGGTTGTGACACAGAAATTAGAGTGTGGAGAAAATCCTTGTTATTTGAGATTCAGGCATTACGTTGTGTAGTGTCAGGAATCGAGTTCAGTTTTACTTTAGTTAATGGGAAAGCTGCATTCTCTAAGTCTAAGTAAAGTCTGTTTGAACAAGGTTTGAATTTATTGCATCACAAAAACGCTCTCAAAACGGTAAAGATTGATTATTTGAATGTGTGTTTTGAACAAATGTAAAACAAATCCTGAAGACAAAGGAAGTTTATTAATATATATTCCAAAATGTTGAGGAGTCACAGACACAATGTAGGTTGAACGTATAGAGCAGTGGCATTTCAGCCATCTCACAAGTGTCTGCTAAATTCTAATCGATACAGCTGTCTACACTGGCCACAAAATGGCTTTCACGTCTCATAGCTGCAGCCTAACCTGTCGTGTTTAGCTTCAAATGTATTTTCTTCATCATACATGTGTAATCATTGGGTACTGGACAGGTCTGAGCCCACGTCAGTATTGTGGCTGCCTGTGTGAAAATGTCGTTATCTTTATACACAGATCAGATACTGTGCATAAATAATTCATTAGTTCTTATCATGATATAAAATGGCTGATATAATAATGATGAGCTAAAGGACACCCAGTGTGTAGGAGCCAATTAACTGTGGGTATAAAGGTAGGAACCTATGTGTGTTGGTGAGAGGTTCCGCCAGAAGGCCCATACAGTTTTTGACCACACACACGGAGAACACACACACGGAGAACACACACACACACACACACACAAACACGAGATTACAAGCAAAGCAAAGGTATTGTGTAAACGGTAATATCGTGTGGTGAATATGGAAAGAAGCAAGTAAATGGAAACCAGTCAAATGGAAATAAATGGAATGTTTCAAACTGGAAACTTTGTTTCTGACCTTTATTCGGCAGCAAACTTGTGTGTGTCAATTACACCCACCAAGCGGATCCTCAGAGGCTTAAAGCGTTGGCTTAGCCTCTACACAGTGTATTAACAAAGCCTCACACTCAAAACACAAGTTCAACAATATAAAAGACACAAACATTGAACTTGCTGTAAAAAAATACTGAGAAATATATTTCACACAAACACTGTGCGAACGCCAACAATGTAAAAAATCAATGGGAATAATCAAACGTGTGTTTCCGTGGCAGCCGCCTGTGATGACCCTCTCTTATTTCCATTGTCCACAGCCACTTTTTTCTCGCAGCTATCCATTCTCCCTTTCCCTTTATATTTGTTCAACTACTTTTGTTCCTTTACCCTATTTGAGTTCTGCAGAGGAAACAATGTACCACAACACATTACCCTGGTGACATGATGAATGGGGAGAATGTGTGGCTGTTGACTGCGGCCTGGAGATAAAGAATAAGCAAATGAAACCGCCTGCCTGCCTCCCAGCACCCTAGAGTCCACTGCCACCATTCCTCATGCTAATTTGATTGAGAATGCTCGATCAGCACATACTCCTGGACTCACACACCTTTGTTGAGGTGTTGAGGAGATGGAGGGGTGCATAGAGAAGAATAGAGGCATGGCATTATGGCATGGGGCAATAACAATTTATCTCCAGGACGCCTGTCTCAGCGTATAATGTTAAAGTTCGGTCCACTGTGGGTAGTTTACATCAAAGTGAAATGTGATACCGCAGGAGAGGGCAAGACAGAACGACAGGAAGGGAAAAGGAAAGGAATATATGGGTAAAAAGGTGAGGGGGGAGAGGGTTAGAAGTGAAGATGAGGGGACATTAATCCAGAGAGGAATTAGTGATGGAAGGCCAGTGGATGGAAAAGGAAATAAAGAATGACGACAGAAAAAAGAACAAGAGAGGCAACTACTTGACAATCCTGGTCCATGTTCCCACAGTGCAATTAATGTGGAGCCAGAAGGACGGCCTACTCCTTTCTGCAGTAAAACAAAACCAGGATTGATGAGAGTGTCTGTAATGCATAAGTGACTGCATGTATGAGCTCGCTAGGAGCAATGTGTCCAGATAGAGGATAGGAGGAAAGATAGTTGTGCTGGGGAAGAAGGAATGTGGCATTATGGCGAGAGAAAGACACAAACAGAGGCAGCGATTGAGATAAAGATATGAGAGAATAGTTGGACTCCAAGAAGAAGAGAAGGTATGTGTGAGTTTGTGAAAAACACAGGGAGAGCTGCAGCAGTAGACAATTGCAAAGGGAGATAAATTGGGGCCGAGCTGCTCTTTTGATGGCCATTTTTTCAGAGTCTCCTTGGTAGCGATTGTATGGGATTCATTAATTAAACCGCAAGCAATGAAAAACAAAGAGAGAAATATCACCAGTCAGCAGCCAGGGCACAGCGCTGCCTTTTTTCCTCTCAGGCCATATTTCACCCGGTTTGACCTTCTCAAGTCAACACAGCAAGTGTTAATCATGGAGAAATACAATCAAAATGAATTTCCTCTTTTGTCGGGCTGCTCGCTGCAGCGCCATTAAACCTTCACTGGGTAGCGGACGATGTTGCTAGGCAAAGCTCTGAACTGTAAATGACTGTAAGTCGGTACTGCTTGATTACAGAGGAACAATGTCAGTGAGGTTTATCTCCACCATCTCCCCCTTTTATGATTTGAATAAAACATGAATTAAGTTTCTATTTTTGCATACTATATTCTGTAGATTCTTGTATGTTATGTATAACTAAATCTTCCTGAACCGGCCAAGGATCATTAAATCTTCATAAACAGTAAATCTACATAATGCCTCAGCAGTTGGGTTACACTGTACAGTATGTGCACATTATAGGGTTGCTAAAAGCAGCAAGTATAGGCAGAACAGAGGTGCCTTTACCATGCATTCAAGCTGTATCCAGCGCCTCAAGGTCAGCTGTATATACCCATTATTTACAGAACAGCTCACACGTAACAATGAAAAAACATTCATTTATGACTGTGTGACTAGAACAAAAACACACGCAGTAAAGGAAAAACAGAGGGAGGAAAATAGCTGAGTATCAGTTTTTCATGGTTGTCAGCTTTGGGATTAATGGAAGCCATTTCGCCATAATGAGCTGTTAAGCGTTAGCTGCCAAAAAAGCCTCTTCGTTTGCCTTTGAGTCTCAGAATACTTTGTCCAATTCGAATATATCTCCCCTTCCTGTGTCTGTAAGCTCTGCTGTACCGGCGCGACGGCTGTCAGATTCCAGCTCTTGTTAGACAACACAATCAGCACCAGAAACAATTATCTGGGGATGAGGTTAATAATGATATCATACTGTTTGTGAATAAATGTGTACCTGTTTTGTCACTACTATGCTCCCAGCGACTGGTTTAATGGAAGCCATTATGTGCTGTGTGTCATATTTGTCTCAAACATTAGAAGCAATAACAAGTTTGAACAAACAAGTGGAGTGTTTTTCATGGCCATCTCAGGGATTTTCTGTTACTGTCCATACAGTATGTATGCTGTGTAAAGCTGTTTTCAAAAAGGTATAGAGTAAGTTCTCAGTAACCAAACATTCAGAGAATGCAGGCCATTTATAAATGTAATACTACCATTCATACTGCTATGATTATGTCCCCTTGTCAAGGCCAGCTGATGTTATGTATGCTTCTATTTATTGCGATATAATACATTTCTAAAGGGTTATAACATATAGGAGACTCATTTAAGTCAGAACATTAATTAATTAATAAATGATACTGTGGCTAGGACCAAAACAAAGTGCTACATCATTGAAATACACAGGCTGGGTTATATAATTACAGAACGTTGTCTCGCCCCTCATGTGCTGTACATGTGTTTAAATGAAAACAGCTTTGTAACTGTTAAATGACATAAGACAGGCTTGTAAAACAGCTCCACAGTGTCAGATTAAGATTTAGGCTAGAAAATGAACATTGTCATGACGCTGACAAGGCTCAGGAATACATTCTTCCACTCTTGAGAACAATCTGTTTGTCTGGTTAAATGGGGCAATTCAGCAGCAAGAAAAAGGATAACTCATGGCTTCAATTAGCAGCCGCTGCGAATGGATCCCTGTCAGGAGAAGTGAAGAAGATGTATCTAAACTCCAGACCTGACAAGGTAATGAAAATAAATGCATCTTCATAAACCTCAGTGAGTTTGAATCATTCATCCATCTGGATCAAAGCTGCTGCTGTGGGACTTAAAACTACTTCACATCCTGGCCACAAGCTTTATATAAAAGGCAGGGTTTGTGATTCATGTTGTTTGTTATTATTCAGAACGGCAACACGCTATACTTGTGGTGCAGCAACTCTGTAGATTCCCAACAGCTCATCATATCTGTTTAAATAAACACAATTAAACATACCGTACTGATCCACTACGGGAACAAACACGTGTGAAAAAATGACATTAACGCTCCTACAAATGCCCTGTGTTTTGCAGTCATTGAGGAATTTAAATATGGAGAAAGTGTTCTTGAAAAAAGGAAGAAAAGGCATTTGTTTCGCACTGCTAAGGGTGATAAATGGAATTCAGTCTCCATGACAAACGGTGAGTACAGACAACTGTTGGATCATCTGTTTTCGTTGTGTGGTGTGAAGTTGCCACAGTTTCCTGCACACTGTACTGAAGCATCCTCCACTCAGTGCCAAAGTGTGTGTGAGAGATAACGTACTAGTGTGAAGATGTGTGTACTGTTGTGTTAAACCTCTAAATGTGTGTGGATACTGTACAGTGGATGATTTTTCTGTGAGATTTAGTTTTTCCTACCAGCATAGGGGACCGGGGCATCCTTGTCTAGAGCGACCAGCGGGGGGTCCAGCAGCACCGTGTCCATGTTCTCCGTGATCACGCCATGGTACGATGTTTCTATCCACGGCTTGTGCTTGTTGACTGTGGGAGAGGAAGAAACATACATTTCAACTGTTTCAATAGAGGCTTCGTTCGTAACTGTATGTGCTGAGTCACTTTAAGCGATCTGAGAATGACGAACAAGAAGACACAGAATATAATTTTTAAAAAGTGTTTGTGATTGATTTTTTTAGGTTTCAACAGATGACAGGAGGACTCCAAAGTTTGGGGAATCTGATTATTGAAGCCTGTAAATAGCCTTACATATATGATTGTAGTGCTTTATTTTCTCCAAAGTGCAAACAATTCTGAAATGTTCAGAAAGAAATGTGAATGTAAAATCCTTCAACAATAAATACATTGTATAGACTGTATTCAGTCTAATACCTCTCTGTTGGCCTTGTGTGCATAAAGACAGCAGGCTCCTCTCTAATGGCTACACTGCCTGTTGTGCTCGGCACAGACTAGGACTCAACAAGGTCTTTGCAGCAAAGCTTTAAAACTTATAATACCTTGATCTAGTTTGGAAAACAGCAACAGGCAAGGAAATCATAAAAATCCCTAAAACACACTTATTCTTGGTGAGAAATGTGAGCTGTGAGATTAATCCAATACTTAAAGAAACCACATCAAACTCTGTGTTGAGCTTAGGGAGGAAGATGTATGTAAAAAGTCAATCGTCCTTTTTCCGCAGTGCATTATTTTCCTCACTAGTGCTACAACGTGGAGAATCCAACCAGCATGAGATTGAAAGGTCACAGGGCTCGACAGTAACGGTTGCCAGGTTGCCAGGCAACCATTCAGAAAAGAGGTCAACCGCTTCTTGGCCTTTGGTTGCCATCAGTGGCAACCCGTTTTTAACATAAAGAAATAAGGACAGCAAACAGCTAAATGAGCTCCCCAAAATAGATAAATGTTAAATATTTGTTGTATAAAGACTTATATTTAATTATTGTTGTGACCGGTCAGGAACCTGATACTTAAGTTGCACGTGCATTGGTGTGATTACGGAGCCAGAAAGCGGTGCGCGGTGTGCCGTGTGTTTGTTTTACAAAAAATGGCGACGCAAATTAAGTTGTTTGACTGTAGGGTAAAAAGTTCGGCCAACCTGTCAACATCTCAAACGAATGTTCAAAGTGATTCAACTGATAAAGCGCAAGATGAACTCTAACGAAAAGCAAAGAGGAAATGTGTAAAGTCTTGGGAGGCGAAATATGTACATTCTGCTCCGGTAAAAGTTCCTTCAAAATAAGAGTCCCGATCTTATTACTACCAAAATAAAAGTGCAAAACGAAACTTTACCATAGGAAAATATTGGCATACAAATATAATCACTTCTATAAAAAGTAGGGCCGGGACTCGATTAAAAAATTAATTAGAGGCTTTGTAATTAATTAATCGAAATTAATCGCATTTTTAATCACATATAAATATTTGACCTGAGAACAGTGAGAAGCAATTTTTTTCACATGGATTTTAGTATACCATTAGGCGCATTCACACCGCAGTACTTTTCCCACAAAGGTTCATGATAATTTAGTTCATGAGAACTCTTTGAACCTGGGGGTGGATAAGGCAAATGAAGCCGCTGACGTCACTTCTTCTTCTTCTGCTTTGGGTTTACTGGCAGGCCGCAAACCACTTCACGGCGTATACTGCCGCCCAAAGTCCCCGGCCGGAAGTCCCCGGAGTTGGGGACTGGCTTCAGTAGAAGCTGCTGGGACTCCCAGCAGCCTTCCGAGTAAATCGCCAGAACGCCGACACCTCCTCATCTCCACTGCTCCCATGTTTTATTTTGTGTTGCCATAAATTAGTCTCTCTGCGTTTCTGCGCTGGGCTAATGCTAATAATGCTAATGCGAGGATAATAAAATTCACAAAACTTTTTGGGAGTTTTACGGGGCGTGGTTTGCAATCCGCCCAGCCAATCAGAAATATAGCTCTTTTCTCACAAGAGAGCCGCACGAAAGTCCCTGCTCTAGCAGCTCTCTGCTCTCTAGCAGGGACTTTCGTGGGGGTAAAAAGGTTCTCATGAACTAATTTTAGTACCGGCTCTTTTTGGTGTGAACGCGATAAAAGAGGCTAACGTCCACGCTAGCTTCCACGCTAGCTGCTATATGTTTTGCATTGAGGTGATACTTGAGGCTTGATGTGCTGCGGTGATATGCGAATTCCTTTTTGCATAATTTGCACACAACCGTGCTCTTATCGACGCTTCCATCCGTCCGTTTTTTAAAACAACCACTGTTGTTCACTGTGGTTTGTTGTTGTCTGAAGTCATGAACGTTAGTTGGTGCTCCAGTATAATCGGTACGCCTGAAACTCATCCAGTGAGAAACGTTCCGCGGTGCAAAAATAAGTGCGATTAAAATGCGTTAATTTTTGTGTAATTAATTAATCTTAATTAACGCGTTAAAGTCCCGGCCCTAATAAAAAGGTAACACATTTTAAATATAGTTAGACATATAAAAGGTCATTTACTGCATTAATAATTAATATCTAATTCTTAACTGTGAATGGTTTTAATGTATTTAACATTATAAATGTATTAGTATGGCCAATCCAAGACTTCAACGCTGAAGGGCCAGTGGATCTATGGTGGGGGTTAGCACAAAGGTCAAGGAAACCCACATTTGAAAGGGAGACAACGGATGACCAAGAAACTAGTGACTTGCTCAATTCATTTGTGAGGGATCTGTGAAGAACATGACAACAGCTGCACTACTGGTATTTAGTATACCAGCAATTGAGGGTGGACAAGTTTACTACCACTTACGTTTCAAATAATTGTGTTAATTACTTATTGTAAAGCATTTGAACATTCTTTTGGGTCACATTTTCATTATTAAGTTGATGTATAACTGTATAGTATCTTAATTATTTAAAATATAAGGTGACTAAAAATGGCAACCATATTTTCCGTTTTGGCAACCAAAAGCTGATGCCTGGTTGCCAGCCTAGCAACCACTTTTAAAAGATAGCGTTGAGCCCTGGGTCAGGAGGATGAGCTGGAGATTAACACAGATCACCATCAGTTTGTCACACTGTGAATACAACTTCCTACTGTAACACTTCATTTTTTCTCACATGGGCCTCATACAGTATATATAGAAAGCCTTGTACAGGCTGCAAGAATGGTACACACACACACACACACACACACACACACACACACACACACACACACACACACACACACACCACACACACACACACACACACACACACACACACACACACACACACACACACACACACACACACACACACACACACACACACACACACACACACACACACACACACACACCCCTAGCGTAGAGAAGTCACTCTGGGATGTCAACTTGACCTTTCGATCCACTGAAGAGGAACACTTTGTCTCATGCCATGAGCAGATGACATGTCTAGCTGGCAGAGATTTAAAATGCATCAAACTGTTCCTCAAACCTTCACAGCTTTTCATCTGTTTGGACACATTTCAGCTGTTTTCTCCTACTATTTCATTTGCTTGTCACCATGCTGAGTTGAGAAAGCAGGTCAAAGTGAAATGAATAAATAGTAAACTTGTTTCCAAAAAGAAAAACACGTTTTGTAAAGGAATGCAAAAACGTTGTGAATGAAATAAATGACATACACTTGGGAAGTTGTGTTAGTTGGAAATAAGCCCATTTTCATTGGTTTTATTACAAAAAAGATGATGTGCAATATATTAACAATGTACGCTTCTGCTCTCCGTCTGCTGAGACAAAGTAGATTTCAGAGAGGGAGAGGGAGCCACAAGGGAAGACATTATTCATACTGGGAGTCACATCTCGTGCTCATGCAGGAAACAGAAATCACTGCAGCAGGATCTGCTCTGAGAGGGGAACAGACGTTTGTCTTTGAGCTGCTGTTTATGCATCTTCACACCTGGAGTATTTAATTCGTAATGGAGGAAAGGCAGTGCATTAAACACACTAATACTCACTTTTCTGGTGAATTGTAGCTACACCTTCATTATTATACAGTTATTGCAGCTTTCTTTGGATTTACTCTTCTGTGTTGGCAAGAATTTCCACTCAAAATCAGACGTAAAATGAACTGAAACAATCTCATAAATAGACTCTTCAAAACCAACACTATATTAGACTGCAGCGCTGAGGTGACTATAAAACAGGCTATAAAATGGAGATTATTTAACTGAGTCTTCATTTCTCTGTGCCTGCACTTGCCAGAGTAAATATGTTAGTACATCATGTTCACATAGCGTTTCATTTACATTTAAAGATGTCTTCAATAAGCCTAATAGCAGCCAACAGCTAGTGCAGTTTACTCATGGATGGCAGGTTCAATTTCTGGCTCAAGGTCTTACATTTATCCCAAACAAATAGGGTGCAAGGCTGTGACTGTTTAAAGGGAGTCTAATATGAGAGCTATTTTATAGAAAGACCACACATCAGACCGTGGAAATGGGCTATTTCCAAAATGGCTTTCAAGACATGAAGTACTGTAAAGGCCGCTACACACCAACCTGAGACCAAAGAACGCGTACCGAAGGCGTCCCGACTTTTACGTCGCCTGCGTTGGCCACACCGCCCGCCTACACCGCCCGCCTACGCCTATCCTCGACATCCTTGTACTGAGCCAAAGCAATCAAATGAAAATAGAGGTAAGCGTGAATGTATAGAGAAAAAAACTTGAAATATACCATGAAGCAGAGATTCCATAGCAACCCATCCAATATTAATGAGATATTTCATAAAAGCACAGACACGTTAGTGGTTCTAGAGGGAAGTAATTCATTAGGATTCATCCTCTGGGGACCATGACTATTTGTACAAAATGTAATTGCTATCCCGGCAGTTTTTAAGATTTTCAGGTCCAAACTACAACAATCCATCCAGAGCCATGCTGCAAAGCTAATAAAAAAAACTTGTTCTACCATGTGGTTCCTCCTTAAAGTGTCATCGACTGCAATTTGCAAGGCCTCTGAGGCCATTTCCTGGGAACATCTGCAGCCATTACAGCGTCAGGATGCACATTATGGAGGAATAATTCACTTAG